GAAAAAATTTACAGACGATTTCACGATGATAATTCTCTTTGTAATATACGGATCCAGCGCATATGATTTTTTGTACTATATTACGTTGAACAATTTTTTCCACAACATATAACTCTACTTGCAAGATGTTGAAACTTTTTAACTAGATAATACCACCTCCAACGCAAGTAACTCTCTCTAACTATTAAAAAATTGAAAATATTCAATAAAGAGGGGTAAGAGAGTGAGAAGGTTTCTCGTTTAAGAAATTTTGAACAAAGTATCAGATATTATTATGCCTCCTTGTCCTTGTATGATTGGTTGAACTTTTTATATTTAAAATATTAGTATTATCTTTTATTAGATACTCAAAATATTTGAGAGAAAAAAGAAAAGAAAAAAAGTGATTTGAGTTTTCTCCCTCTATGATGTCCGGTGCTTTCACCGGCTTCGTGAGAGGGAGATGGTTGTCATCTAATAGAGCTTTAACGCTCTACATGGAGTGTAAGAGATATTTCTATGAGAGTTTTTGGTTTGAAGACGATGCGATTTTAGTCGCTTTTTTTAGATCTAATTTGTGATTTACTTCATTGGGTTTACGGTGTGATTCCCTTATTGGGTTTAGTTTTTTGGGATGAAGTTTTTAGTTGAGGTTTAGGTTGCTAGTTTCTAGTCAGTTCTGGTTATTTATTTGATTTCAGTTTTGCAGTTCAAAATTGCTCAACGGCGGCTTCACTGATGCTAACTCGGAATAAATTTGACAAAGGCAATCAAAGAAGGAGATTTATCTAAATTAAGAGAATTGTTATCATGTTATCGTAATAGATATTAGAAATCCGGTTGCTATTGTGGATTCGAGAACACCTATTCGTCTACCTTCGATTCGAAACAAGATCATCTTGGTATCGCTAATGTGTCGTTATCGATTGTCCTCACTTGATTTATAGTGTGGAAATGACCATTAGTTTCTCTTTGTATCGTATTTGTTGAATTTCTTCGTTGATGTAATCTGTTTCAAATCAATTTCAATGGAATAAAGTGTTAAAAAAATAAGTAGAGATATCAATTTCCAATTAAAAATGATTTAAAAAAAAAAGATACTCAAAATATTTTCGTCAGACAGTTTTTTGGTTACCGATAAGAGAAAATGTGTCTTTCCGATGTTGGTTCCCTCGATTTTTCTCTTTTAAGGGTTTTCTGAATGCTCATAATGTTTGATGGTCTGATGGTTATGTCATTTACGATTTTTTCTTTGCCTCTGTTTAGGTTGTATCAGTTTCGACTTTTAGATTCTAGTTCTTGTCCTAACTTTTGGCTTCCTTGTTAAGATTATGTTCTCGGCGATTTTTTGTTTATCGTCCGGCTTAGTTTCCGGGGAATTTTTTGTCCGCTGTCTTTTGTATATTCTAAAATGATCAATAAAAATTTCTGATTT